GAATCCGGTTTCTCCGCTTCCTTGCTGCTGTGAGCTATCTACATTATCTTCATCCTCATCTTCCTCGTACCCTGAACCCGCTTCCCTGTGTGTTTCTCCAGTGACAGTCATAGCACACGGTTGGGGTAGTGGTGGCTGCACCCCCTAGGATCGCATGCAGCTCCGTGTAGAAGCGGCATGTTTGCGGCTCTGCCCCGGACCTTCCGTTTGCCTCTCTGGCTTTGTGGTAGGCTTGCCTTAGCTCCTTAATTTTCACGCGGCACTGCTGTGCGTCCCTGTTATGGCCTCTGTCCTTCATGGCCTTTGAGACTTTTTCTAAATATTTGCCATTTCGTTTACTGCTACGGAGTTCAGCTAGCACTGATTCATCTCCCCATATGGCGAGCAGATCCCGTACCTCCCGTTCGGTCCATGATGGAGCTCTTTTGCGATCCTGGGACTCCATCATGGTTACCTGTGCTGATGAGCTCTGCGTGCTCACCTGTGCTCTCCTCGCTGGGCAAACAGGAAATGAAATTCAAACGTTCGCGGGGCTTTTCCTGTCTACCTGGTCAGTGCATCTGAGTTGAGAGTTGAGATTTTATCGCTAATCCCCTCGTCAGAGGTGGAGTAAAGAAACCGGTTTAAAGGACCCTTTAAGTCGAAAGAAAGGGCTTCGTCGTGTGAACGTGTCCAGGCTTAATTCGATTTAACGCTGCTAAAGTTGACCTAAACTTGTAGTGTAGACCAGGCCTTACATTCGCCAGGGGGATTTCTTGCTGCTTTTTGCAACACTCAGCAGCTCCCAATTTTGTTGCACAGAGGTGGAAAAATAAGGGATGTCCCTTGTACTAAGGCACTGTTGGTAACCCTATGACAGGTCCGGATGTCTAGTGTGGTACAGCTGTTCAGAGCAGGGAGTGAGGGAGGATTCCAGATCTGACTGAACCCGTTGGGGCAGGATGGGGCAAACAATTTGGGACTGGGCCAGGGCCTAGGGTGACCACCCATCCCAAACTGGGCAGGACAGTCCCAAAATATACTTTTGAAGTCCCGGTCCTGGGCTGCATGACACCAGGACAGCATTTGTCCCAGATTCCCTCCAGCACCACTCCACGCCTGCCCGAGGCTCCGGGGTGGTGCCAGCCTCTTCCTGGTGGGGAGCTGAGGTTGGCCTTCGTTGCCACCCCCTTGCCATGAGGCCCCACCCCCTGCTCCTCCTCTTCCCTGAGGCCCTGCCCCTGGCCAGACCAGAAGCTGGAGCTGGGCCATGATAAGAGCTGCCCAGAGTAATCCTGGGCTGCTGTGGGGAGTCCTGGACAGCGTGCCCCAAGGGGTGAGGACCTGGGCTGGGGGCTGCTCTCAGGCACTAGGGCCAGCCCTAACTGTGAGGAAAGAGCTCCCTTTCTGGATTACCCACAGCACCCACGGACACCATGCTGGGAGATTGAGGTTCACACTGACTACAATGGGAGCATGTCCCTCACCCTGCTTTCTGCAGCACAGAGCCCCCAGTGCCACACATGGGGCATTGGGCTGAACAATGACTCTGAGTCAAACTTTTACTGAGTCCCAAACTCCCTCCTTGGATCCTCTTTCCTGCTCACAACTCCATTCCAGTCCCTGGCCCCAGTCCCTTCAGCCCCCTAGAGAAAGCTGGCTGGGTGTGGGGCTCCCACAGCCCACGGAAGAGGCTGATTTGCTCTCCAATAGAAGCACTCCCCAATCAGCGGCTCTGGGAGTTTCTATTAATAGCCATGGGCCCATCAGTTTATTTAAGGGAGATTGTCTCTGTGTCTAGCAGCCCTGTTGGCTGGTTTGGCCAGCTGCCAGCATCTCTCAGGAGGTGTTTCCCTGGGGGCTGTTCAAGTTGCTCCCCACCTTGAGGGCTCCGTTTCTCACTGTGACGGAGAAGTTTGTCTTCAACACACTTCATGTGAGTCGGGTCTCGCTCTTACGGGGCTTGGCTGTGAGAGGGCAGGGGGCTCACTTGTGGGGGGACATGGGTGGGTATCTCCTATGGGGGAGCTGTGAGGGAGAGGGATAGAGCCCAGGGCTGGAGTTTGTCTCTGCATGAAATGACCCTCTTCTTCCCCTCTGCTTGGGGCTGGCTGGGAGGTGAGACCCCTGCAGGCTGCCCCCTCCCCTGAGCGCTATGAACAAGCTCAGTCCATTTATATAGCACATCCCATGCCTCTGCCCTGAGCAGGCAGACTCAGCCCTGGGCCGGGGGGCGTCTCCTCACCTCCAGCAGTGGCTTAATTTATCATGGAGACACCAGCAGCCCTGAGACTGGTGCCCAGAAACAGTCTGTAGCCACAGCCAGAGCCTAGCACCCAGTTGGGATCAGATTGAATTTTCTTCCCCACTTCCTTTGTCATGCTCACCTTCCCCCTCCATGCAGCTGCTTTGTACTCCCCACTTCCCAGGACACATTCCCAGGTGCTCTCAGCCTGCAAGGGGCTGTACAGACAGCAAACCAGGGTGTCCTCTTAGGAGCAGGACTCAGGCCCAGGGTCCTGGCTCAGGGATCCTGTCTGTCCTGCTCTCAGGTGTGACTCGTGATCATGAGTGCCAACCTCAGGGCAGACTGTCAAAAACTGGGCAGACTAGGGTTACTATTCCTCCGGATTCTCCCGGACATGTCTTGCTTTTTGGGGTAAAAAATAGCATGGGGGGGGGCGGGGGAATTTGTAAATATCTAAAAATGTCCGGGATTTCCGCCCCGATGCAGAGCTGGCTGGATTGAGCCACTAGCATGGGGCTTGGGCTCCGGCAGCAAAAGCCTCTCCTCCGTTTCCCCGCTCCTCTCCCCTGCAGCTTCTGATCACTAGCCAGGCTCTAGAGCTCCTCCCCTCCCTGCATTCTCAGATCGCCGGCCGGCTGGGCCGTTCGCATCAGGCCTCCGGCAGCTGGGCTCTGGAGCTCCTCCCTTCTCCTCCTCCCTTCTCCCCCCACTGCGCAGCACGCTGCTCTGCAGCACTCTGCGGGGGCGGGGACCGGGCTGGGTGCGCCGCTGGGGAGCGCAGAGCCCGACACGCTGTTCTGAGTGGCACGGTAAGAGGGGCAGGGGGTGGAGATGGGGCAGGGTGGTGCTGGAGGGGGCAGACAGGGGGTGGGGGGAGGGTTGGATGGGTCGGGAGTTCTGGGAGGGACTGTCAGGGGGCGGGGGTGTGGAGAGGGATCGGAGCAGTCAGGGGACAGGGAGAAGGGGGGGTTGGATGGGTTGGGAGTTCTGGGGGTACTGTTGGGGCGGGGGTGTGGATAAGGGTTGGGACAATCAGGGGACGGGTAGGGTCCTGGGGGGCAGTTAGGGTGGGAGGGGTCTCAAGAGGGGGCAGTCAGGGGACAAGGAGCGGGGGGGGTTGGAGTTTCTGAGGGGGGCGGGAAGTGGGAGGGAGTGGATGGGGCGGGGCTCCCCGTCTTCTTTTTTTGATTGTTGAAATATGGTAACCCTAGTTCTATAACTAGATCTCAACAAGCCAGTAACAAATGTGACCTCCTGATCCCTATAACAGTCTTCCTGTGGAGACCCAGATAGTCCCCTTAAACTCTCCAGCCCAGGGGTCTCCAAACTATGGCCTGCGGGCCACATCCGGCTCACCAGATCCTTCTGTCCGGCCCCTGAGCTCCGGCCTGGGGAGGCTAGCCCCTGGCTCTTCCCCTTCTGTCCCCCTTCCCCGCAGCTTCAGCTCACCATGCCACCAGCCTCAATGCTCCAGGCTGTGTAGTCGGGGGTGGGGAGCAAGGGGGGTTGGGTTGGGAGGTTCTGGGGGGCGGTCAGGAGGCAGGGAGCAGGGCGGTTGGATGGGGTAGGGGGGGTTTCTGGGACGTGGTCAGGGGACGGGTGGGTTGGATAGGAGGTGTGGGGCCTGGGGGGGCAGTCAGGGTGGGGAGTGGGGGGTCGGATAGGGGGCGAGCCCCTACCCAGCCCTCCATACAATTTCTGAACCTCGATGTGGCTCTCCGACTGGAACAGGGATGGCCAAACTTTTTGGCCTATCTCGCTATCCCCGCAAGCCAGACTTTTATCGGTGGTCACTTACACCAAAAATCACATCACATCAGGTTGCTTCCAATTCCAAGAGACCAGCCACTTCCCACAGATCAATTGGTACCCTAGATCTTACACCAAGACAACAACTATAGCCAATCCTGTAACAAGATATCTAAAGGTTTATTAACTAGGGAAAAGGAATAAGAGTTATTTACAGGTTAAAGTAAGCAAACATATATACACAAATGAGTTACCATCTAAATCCTAAGAGTGACAAAGTTGTAGTGAACTGTCAAGTTCAAGTTTCTTTCAGGATGACCCAGGAGGCAGTCCCTAGGGATCTCTGGCTTCAGTTTAGTGTCTCTGTCCCTGTGAGTTCAAACAGCAAAGAGATGGAAATTTTACCTCCCTGTTTTGTTTTTACACCCCTTCACTGAGGGCTTGTCTACACTGGCAAGTTGCTGCACTGAAACTTTCTCACTCAGGGTGTGAAAAAACCTGGGTCCCTTAGGGATGGCTCTGGCGGTGGCCAATAGGAGCCAGGCACCCAGCTGCCACTGTGCTGACCCCATGGCAGGAGGAGGAGAGCTGACCAACCCTGAGTGGGTTTGGTTGTTTTCCCACCCAACCTGACCCTGACCTGATGCTCATAGTTGGGTTGGGCCACAGGGCTTTAATGCACAATAATACCGTAGGCAGGCCACATTCCTCACACTCAAGTTGTAACACAAAACCTTAACTCTTATCTCCGTAACATCACCTTGTCATACGCGTGTGATAGGCGCCCATGAATTGCTGAGCTGTATGATGTCTTGTTTTCCCTGGGGACGTAGGAGGTCAGAGCTGAGTTCTGTATTGTAGTGTTCGAAGTCCCCACAGTATTTCAGAGTCTGACTGAACTTGCACACTTTGTAAAATGTACAATTAATGGCATTTGAAAAAAGATTTCTCCTTACAAGATGGTGCAGTTTGTCCCCATTGTAATCTTCCCTCTGACTGTTTTCTCCCCTATTTCCCATCTCAGAGTATGCCCAAAGATGGAAATTCTCTTGGACCTTCCCAGCCCAATAGAAAACTTCTGTCTCTGCATTTCCTGTGCATCATGTTCTCCCATGTCCTGCATATTGTCCCCTCAGACTCAGGTAAGAATCCCTGTATTGCACGCAGGGCAATGCAGTGTTGTCATGTGCTGTATGGATTTATGCTTTGGTGCCACTAAGGGTACGTCTTCACTTACCGGAGGGTCCGGCGGCAGGCAATCGATGTTCTGGGATCGATTTATCGCGTCTGGTTAAGACGCGATAAATCGATCCCGGATCGATCCCGGAAGTGCTGGCCGTCGACGCCGGTACTCCAGCTCGGCGAGAGGAGTACGCGGCATCGACGGGGGAGCCTCCCTGCCGCGTCTGGACCCGCGGTAAGTTCGGACTAAGGTACTTCGAATTCAGCTACGTTATTAACGTAGCTGAATTTGCGTACCTTAGTCCGAAGTGGGGACTTAGTGGGGACCAGGCCTAAGAGCAGAGGCACTTTACACAATTCTGAGAAATCAGTTTTACTGGAGGTCTTGAAAGGGACCTACAAGATCAATGGGATTTGGGCACCTAAGTCTGTTTGATCCCTTTGAAAATCCCAACCTCAAAACTCTTTGCTCCTCTCCTGTGTTGATAACAGTGCAAATTGGTGTAATGTCACCATCAGAGAAGCAATAGGAGTACATAGGGTACATTACAGGTACTTTTTCATTCTAACTCCTGTTTTCAGTCACATGTACTTTTCTCAGGCAGTTCCTCCCTGGCTAAAATATCCCAGGATTCCCCTTAGACCAAAGATTAATTGCTGTGTGAAATCAGCTCTTTAAGATCCTGTGGTCAAAATTTGGTCTTAAAATTCTGAATAATGTTTTACAATATTTAATAGCACAAATGCTGATTCTTTCCTGCCATAGGACTGCGCCAGCAGCATAAAGCAGCCATAGAATCATAGAATATCAGGGTTGGAAGAGACCTCAGGAGGTCATCTAGTCCAACGCCCTGCTCAAAGCAGGAACAATCCCCAACTAAATCATATGAGCCAGGGCTTTGTCAAGCCGGGCCTTAAAAAGCTCTCAGGAAGGAGATTCCACCACTTCCCTAGGTAACCTATTCCATCCTCCTAGTGAAACAGTGTTTCCTAATATCCAATTTAGACCTCTCCCATTGCAACGTGAGACCATTACTCCTTGTTCTGTCATCTGCTACCACTGAGGACAGTAGAGCTCCATCCTCTTTGGAACCCCCCTTCAGAAAGTGAGTGGATGCTATTGTAGGTGGGAAGAAACCTGTCTTAGCTTCCTGCACAGCCAGGGGACGCAGTCTAGCAATCAGCTGGGTTCAGCACAGAACTTTTGGCATTCTACCCCTCTCCCTCTCACTTAATCAGTTATTGGCCATCTGTGAACCAACATCACCTGTGAGAGTGAAGCCAATGGAGATGGCATTTAGGGGCCATTTTATCAACAGTGTAGGGCAAAATCTTATCAAGCCATCACTTGAAGGCTATGTCAGAAGAATATATTTAGAAGACTGAATTGCTGCATCACATATATTTTCTACATGCTGATTGTTTATTATTATTTCCTATGCCTCTATAGGTAATAATAAACAATCTCCAGACAGGATCAGACCAGACATCATCTAGTCCAGTATCCTTTCTCTGACATGGGACAGCACCAGATGGTTCAGAGGAAGGTGAAATAAATCCTATAATGGACATATATGGAATAACCTGCCAATATGGGACATTTCCTCCTAGTTCCCCATCAGTTAGAGCAGAGGTTCCCCAAATTTTTCTTATTGCATATCCCTTTCCAGATCTACCTGCTTCCCATTCACCTGTGCCAGAAAACAGGCTTTATATTTTAACCCTTTTAATACCAAAGCATTGTACAAAATGTACAGATTATAATACACATGAACATAGGACTATAATAGCAATAATACATATCATTTACAGTTTTAGTTTTAATGTACACTTACTTTTGCCCAATTTAAGTAATGGCTTATTAGTACTGCTCACCATTAATGTGATGAATGAGGTTGTTCGAGCACAGGCGCATAATGTTTGGAGTGGTAGCTGAAAGTTTGAGTTGTAAGTGGTTTTCTACCCAAAGATGCTGACGATAATTTGATTTCATTCCAGTGAGTGATTAGAAAATCCACTTTCACACAAGTAAATTGTAGAAACTGCATCAAAACCTTTACAGCCCTGTCTGACAAGGGGAACTTCGCGTTTCGATCCAAAACTCTTTTTTGTTGGAACTCCAGCCTGAGTCTACCATCAGTTGAGATGTCCAGAAGATTCTCTTGTTCTTTTATGGACAAATCTTGTGGTGTGTGGTAGAGGGTTTATCTCTTCACCCTCTCACTCCCTGGTTCTTTTCACGTAAACAGAAAGCCACAATACCAGAAGTCCGAAGTTGCAGACAATTCAATGTTTATTGGGATTAACTTCCAGCAAGCAACAATTCTGATTTCTTTTTTTCCCAAATTACTTCCTGTTTGCCCCCAATTTATATAGTAATATTCTCAGCTATATCTCAACCAATCATTTTAATGAAATTTAATTAACCAATCCTAACATATTGAAACATGTTTCAGAGTAGCAGCCGTGTTAGTCTGTATCCGCAAAGTACTTGCAGCACCTTAGAGACTAAGGTTTATTTGAGCATAAGCTTTCGTGGGCTACAGCCCACTTCATTGGATGCATAGAATGGAACATACAGCAAGAAGATATTTTATACATACAGAGAACATGAAAAGGTGGAAGTAGCCAGACCAACTGTAAGAGGCCAATCAATTGAGATGAGCTATCATCAGCAGGAGAAAAAAAACTTTTGAAGTGATAATAAAGATGGCCCATAGAAGGTGTGAGGATACGTAACATGGGGAAATAGATTCGATTAGTGTAATGACCCAACCATTCCCAGTCTCTGTTCAAACCTAAGTTAATGGTATCTAATTTGCATATTCATTCAAGTTCAGCAGTCTCTCTGGAGTCTGTTTTTGAAGCTTTTTTGTTGCAAAATTGCCACCTTCAAGTCTGTCACTGAGTGGTTAGAGAGGTTGAAGTGTTCTCCTACTGGTTTTTTAATGTTATGATTCCTGATGTAAGATTTGTGTACATGTATTCTTTTGCGTAGAGACTGTCCGGTTTGGCCAATGTATATGGCAGAGGGGCATTGCTGGCACATGATGGCATATATCACATTGGTAGATGTGCAGGTGAACGAGCCCCTGATGGTGTGGCTGATGTGATTAGGTCCTATGATGGTGTCACTTGAATAGATATGTGGACAGAGTTGGCATCGGGCTTTGTTGCAAGGATAGGTTCCTGGGTTAGTGTTTATGTTGTATGGTGTGCGGTTCATAGAATCATAGAATATCAGGATTGGAAGGGACCTCAGGAGGTCATCTAGTCCAACCCCCTGCTCAAAGCAGGACCAGTTCCCAACTAAATCATCCCAGCCCGGGCTTTGTCAAGCCTGACCTTAAAAACCTCTAAGGAAGGAGATTCCACCACCTCCCTAGGTAACCCATTCCAGTGCTTCACCACCCTCCAAAAAAAGCCTCACAACCCTGGGTTTAGCAGGCCAGTGCTCAAACCACTGAGCTATCCGTTCCTCCCCAGTTGCTGGTGAGTATTTGCTTCAGGTTGGGGGGCTATCTGTAAGCGAGGACTGGTCTGTCTCCCAAGATCTGTGACATTGATGGATCGTCCTTCAGGATAGGTTGTAGATCTTTGATTCATAGGTTCATAGATTCTAGGACTGGAAGGGACCTCGAGAGGTCATAGAGTCCAGTCCCCTGCCCTCATGCAGGACCAAATACTGTTTAGACCATCCCTGATAGACATTTATCTAACCTACTCTTAAATATCTCCAGAGATGGAGATTCCACAATGCGCTGGAGAGGTTTTAGTTGGGGGCTGAAGGTGACAGCTAGTGGCATTCTGTTATTTTCTTTGTTGGGCCTGTCCTGTAGTAGGTGACTTCGGGGTACTCTTCTGGCTCTGTCAATCTGTTTTTTCACTTCAGCAGGTGGGTATTGTAGTTTTAAGAATGCTTGATAGAGATCTTGTAGGTGTTTGTCTCTGTCTGAGCGATTGGAGCAAATGCGGTTATATCTTAGAGCTTGGCAGTAGACAATGGATCATGTGGTGTGTCCTGGATGGAAGCTGGAGGCATGTAGGTAAGGATAGCCGTCAGTAGGTTTCCAGTATAGGGTGGTGTTTATGTGACCATTGCTTATTAGCACAGTAGTGTCGAGGAAATGGACCGCTTGTGTGAACTGGTCTAGGCTGAGGTTGATGGTGGGATGGAAATTGTTGAAATCCTGTTGGAATTCCTTAAGGGCTTCTTTTCCATGGGTTCAGATGATGAAGATGTCATCAATGTAGCACAAGTACAGTAGGGGCGTTAGAGGATGAGAGCTGAAGAAGTGTTGTTCTAAGTCAGCTATAAAAATGTTGGCATACTGTGGGGCCATGCGGGTTAGATACCATTAACTTAGGTTTGAACAGAGAATGGTTGGGTCATTACACTAATTGAATCTATTTCCCCATGTTAAGTATCCTCACATTTTCTATGGGCCGTCTTTATTATCACTTCAAAAGTTTTTCTGCTGCTGATGATAGCTCATCTCAATTGATTGACCTCTTACAGTTGGTCTGGCTACTTCCACCTTTTCATGTTCTCCGTATGTATAAATATCTTCTTGCTGTATGTTCCATTCTATGCATCCAATATTGTAACATGGTTATCTAACCAATTATATCCCACCACCTTAATTGGTTTACACCAGCAAAATTAATTATACAGCAGACAGAAACAATCGAAGAACAAGATAGAGACTATACAGATGAACAATAGAGAAGTGGGGACCATAATGACAAAATAACAAGAAGTGAGGGTGTCACAATCACAACTATTGATAGGTGAGTTCTTGCCAGACAGGATGCTATCAGACTAAGGTTTTTGTTTTTTTTTACAGCCCAAAATTGCCTTATTTCAATGTGTCTGAGGACATGACCATACACCTCCCAGTTTATGGCTGCCCCTGCTGTTTAGCCAAAGGCTTAGATTAAGAACAAGGCCTTAGATTATGCTAGTGTGAGAAGGCCTATGAACAGGCAGACTGTGATTTTTGACTCTTGTTTTGTACCTCTATAACTAGCTACGTGATAAGAATACACCTAAATCCTTAAAGTTCAGGGCTTTACAGACAAGCCTGAATATCTATATACTAACAGTGTGGGTGTGACGGGATCCCCCAGGGTGCAGCCTGGGACTGTGGAACTGCTGTGCCCCCTGAACTCTCTCCAGCCAGGGCTGTCTCCCACAATGCCTTGCTAGTGACGAGCAGCAACCCCACCTCCAGGCGCTGTTATCACTCAGCCCAACCGCATGTGGAGACCCCACACCCAGTTAGATCACATGAATGCTCCCAGAGCCATTCATGAATCACAAAGAGAAAGGCACCAACCAGATCCTTCCTAGCATTGTACCTCAGGAATATGCCATCTAATTTATTAATTGGTTCACCACTTCATCAATGGAAAGTGGCTATACAGCAGCCTTTGATAACTGAGCAATTTAGCATTCACTTCAAGCAAACTCACTGGTAAAGATAAACAGTTAGACAAGTTTATTGACTATAAAAGATAGATTTTTAAGTAGTATTAAGTGATTGGCAAAAAGTCAGAGTTAGTTACCAAAAGAAATAAAACATAATCATGCAGTCTAAACTCTCAACCCTGTTAGACTGGGCAACAACTAGACTAAGCAACAAGGACAAGTGCAGAGTCCTGCACTTAGGACGGAAGAATCCCATGCACTGCTACAGGCTGGGGACCGACGGGCTAAGTGGCAGTTCTGCAGAAAAGGACGTGGGGATTACAGTGGATGAGAAGCTGGATATGAATCAGCAGTGTGCCCTTGTTGTCAAGAATGTTACCAGCATATTGGGCTGTATTAGTAGGAGTATTGCCAGCAGATCAAGGGAAGTGATTATTCCCCTCTTTTCAGCACTGGTGAGGCCACATCTGGAGTATTGTGTCCAGTTTTGGGCTCCCCACTACAAGAAGGATGTGGAAATGTTGGAGAGAGTCCAGCGGAGGGCAACGAAAATGATTAGTGGGCTGGGGCACCTGACTTATGAGGAGAGGCTGAGGGAACTGGGATTGTTTAGTCTCCAGAAGAGAAGAATGAGGGGGGATTTCGTAGCAGCCTTCAACTACCTGAAGGGGGGTTCCAAAGAGGATGGAGCTCGGCTGTTCTCAGTGGTGGCAGATGACAGAACAAGGAGCAATGGTCTCCAGTTGCAGTGGGGGAGGTCTAGGCTGGATATTAGGAAACACTATTTCACTAGGAGGGTGGTGAAGCACTGGAATGGGCTATCTAGGGAGGTGGTGGAATCTCCCTCCTTAACGGTTTTTAAGGCCCGGCTTGACAAAGCCCTGGCTGGGATGATTTAGTTGGGGATTGGTCCTGCCATGAGCAGGGGGTTGGACTAGATGACCTCCTGAGGTCTCTTCCAACCCTAATCTTCTATGATTCTATAAGCAGTTTTCTCACCACACTGGATTTTGCAGTCCATAGCATACAGATTTCTCCCTTGAAATCTGGGCCAGTCCCCTCAGTTGGAGTCTTAAGTGTTCAGCATCCTTATTGCTTGCAGTGTAGGTGGATGAAGGAGAAATGCCCCCCATGAGCCCTTGTGTTGGGTTTTTATACCCTCAGTCCCATCTGCTTGGGGAGCACAAGTCCAGGCATGTCTGGGGACCTTGCTGAGTCTCCCAGGCAAAGTTGAGCAATTCCCCTGCTGTGGCCTCATGCAGGCGAGTCATCGCATTGTAGCTCCCTTGCTGGACAATGGTTGTTGATGGGTTGATTGACACCCCGCCCGGGTGTTGGTTACTCCCCTTGCTGTTGCCTATGAGGGAGCTAATATCTGGCTGATTCCCCAATTTACAGCATGTTTTAGTGACAGCATACAACACACTCACATAATTTAATATGCATTGATGATATACATATACGGATAGAGAAGTGACTTTTGGCAGATCCTAACCTTTCCTCTGATACCTTACATGGCATGGTTTATATGTAATATCACAATTATATACACGATGAGGAATATGGGGGTTTTGCAGGGCACTCCTCCAAGGCATAGAGGGTCACAGTGGGTACTGCAGAAAAATTTGTGAAAGGATAGTGGACCCATTGGTTTGCATTTCTCATTGAGGGAAAGTACTCAGTAATTGCCTCACCAATTCACTGAGCTATTGCTTGTTGCCATCTTTAACACTCTCTTGCAATTGTAGTTCATTCGTTGTGAGGCATTCATGCATGTTTGGGAACATTTTGGTGTTTTTCTATGCACAGTGAGCCCAGAATTCCAGCTTTTTTTATTGACTCAGTTTTGTCCTGGACATTGAAAATAGTTGCATTGAGCCATTGAAGTCTTAGATTTAGCTCATTCAGATGAGAGAATATATCTGACAAGTAGTCCAGCCATGAGAGCCAAACCATGTCAAGCAGATAGTGAGAGAGTGGGAATGGTCCTCTGTGTTCATAAACAAAAAACAAAACAACAAACCCTTGAACTGCGAGTGAAGTTCAAAAAACGTGCCAAGACCTTGCCCCATGACAGCTATTGAACTTCCAGGTGGAGCAATAGATTGACATGCTTGCTTCTTGTCTCATTAATAGACTGGGAAAGATCCTGGAATTCAAGGGCCAAGCTTTTATAAAGTTTATCATCTTCACAGCATTGTCCAGCAACTCCTTCAAGTTGGTAGGCATGCTTTTGGCAGCAAGTGCTTCCTTATGTATACTGCAATGCACTCACATAGCATTGGGGATAACTGCTCTGATGTGTGTCACTACTCCACTATGCCTACCAGTCATTGACTTTGCTCCAGCACTGCAGAGACTAATACATCATGACCAGATGATATCACATTAATTTATGAACCTGTCAAGCAATCGGAAAATCTTCCCAGCTGTTGTTCTGGCAGGCAGCAACTGGCAAACAAAATGTCCTCCAATATTGCACCTCCATAAATGTACCGCATGTACACCAGAAGGTGAGCTACGCAACTGACCCCGCACTTTACGGTGATTGGAGGTGGGAATTTGTTATATAAAATACGGTAGTTAATTTACTTCCAGGTGTACCAATGAACACAGATATACAGAGATGCTAATGTACATAGCCCTCACCTCCGATCACCGTACAGCGCGGGTTCAGTTGCCCACCAACTGTCCAGTCTAACTGAGCTCAGCACTTAGGGTTTTTTTTTCCCAATTGTATAGGTTACACTATAACTATCTGCATATAACAGTGAACTATGGACAAATGGCTAAAGACAGGTAGTGTTAAAAAAATCTCACAAGGCATCAGTGATGAGATGTGAAGTGATGAAATGTGTGTTTCCCCCCCTTTATTCAGTTTCAAACATGACACCTTTCAGATTCAGTGAGTGATCTTGTGTACTGTTCTAATCCATTACATCTAGGTTAATACATCATGCCCAGCACCAAGGTATCAAAGCACCCTCTGATATCTGAATGCCTTGTGCTTGTATTAGAGAGAGGACAAAAAGGAGCACTTGGTTTCTCACATCCTCTCTTATTCATCTCCTCTCTACACCAAACCATCCCAGTCTTTTCATTTCCTTCTTTTATGTACAGAAATCTCTCCCTGACTCTAGTAATCATTAGTCACAATTATGTAGACAGCACCCGGAAGAGTGCAGCAGCCATCTAGAAATGACAGATCCCTGCTCCAGGGAGCTTACACTTGACCCATTAACCCTCACAATGTCCATGGGATCTCGCAATTATCCCACCTACCCGGGGGGGAAAGGAGTAGAGAGAGATTAAGGCCACAAAGTGAGTCAGTGGTGGAGCTGGGACTAGAACCCCATTGTATCTGGCTTCCAGCCCCACATTCAGTCTATGTGACTCATCCTGCCACCCAGGATATATAGCGTGGCCTGTTTCATCAGTTCTTTTTTTTACTATAAATTTCTGTATCCTGTTTCTTTAACAGTGAATTTCAAAGTGGTCAGCCCTGCTCAACCCCTCATGGTGTCTGTGGGTGAAGATGCCCTGTTGCCCTGCCACCTCAGCCCCAGGATGAATGCCGAGGACATGGAGGTGAGGTGGTTCCGGTCCAGCTTCCCTGAAGTGATCCATTTGTATCAGGATGGGAAAGACCAGCCCGAGCAGCAGATCCTGGAATACCAGGGGAGGACAGAGCTGCTGAGAGACAACATCACTGAGGGAAGCGTTGTCCTGCGAATACACAGCATTAGGCCTGCTGACGAAGGACAATACAGCTGCTTCTTCCAGTCTAGCACCTTCTATGGAGCAGCCTTGTTGGAACTGAAGGTGTCAGGTCAGTATTTGGGCTGATCTGTGGATTCTCCAAATTAGGGTTGCCACATTTTAGAAAATAATTGATGACATTTAGTTGCTGTCAGGTGAACACTGACTTAAGTTTTGTGAACATAGCCATCTTTATTCTGATTTCAGTAATTTCGTATTCTCTAAAAAATCTACTTTGACTGTGGGGCTATTACAGGAGTGGGTGGATGAGGTTCTGTGGCCTGTGATGTGCAAGAGATCAGACTAGATGGTCATGATGGTCCCTTCTGGCCTTAAAATAGGAGTCTAATAAAGCTTATACCTTACACTCTCTCTCTAATTCTTTAGCTAAAGTTAAGCGATATTAAAAAACCCATGAGAAAGCTGGTACAGATAATCTATTAGTTAAAATTATTTAACCATTTCATGTTTTATATTACGACATTCTTATGTTATGGTTTTGCCTAAGTCTCCTTACCATTTATTGGAATGTTTCAAAGTAATCCATCTAGAAGGGACACACACACGTTAAACTCCAAATATAACATTCAAATAATGGTTTAAAGCTATTTTCATCACTCTGGAAGCTAATCAGTACTGTTGGTACTTATGCCACATTAACCAAAGGTTCAAACAGTTGTAGAAATCTTTAGTATAAAAGCAGATTTAAACTTTCTTTCTCCTCTTTTTGTAAGGAGATGTCAACTTCTTTTGACCACAAAATGTGTATTACTTCTAGTATGAAATGCACCTGGTTTCTCTCAGCTTTGCTTGCTTACAGCACAGAAAGTTTCCTGTTACAGATAGTGTTAGCTTGATTTATGAGTTCTTGCAGACTCAGCTCTATTGACTTAGTATTTTTAGAGAACCAAGGTTAGCCTTGTTAGTGAAACACAAGTGTACATTATACCCTGAAAGGTATTTACAGGATTTTAACTCCAGTAAAAATTTTCAGAAAAAAACATTTAGCTTAAAAGAGCCAAGTTGTTACTTGAGTAAAAGACATACTTTTATTTTCTATTATATTTGCTACTTATCATTTGGAATTGGTGTGCAGGTGGGCTCTCAATCTCAATTTGGTAGCTATAATGACTGGTTTCTTGAGCTGGAAAATGCAGGTCGTTTCCCTTCAAGGTGTTATGTGTATTCGAGTTCTATTTCTGGATTTCACAGTGGGTTTCCTAAGGTCAGGTCTAGACTAGAAAGTTAAATTGATAAAAATTGTCTTGCATCAGCCTAGTAGTGCATGTGTCTACATTTACGATGGTCTCCTTCTGATGTAAACAGTCTGTTACGTCAACATAGTAACACCACCTCCCCAAAAGGAGCCAGGAGCAACCTAGTAAGGTAGATGAATGCAAGTGCAGATACCACATGGCCTACGTCAACCCTAGAAGTCCTCCAGGAACCTTCTCACGATGCCGACAGTGGCCGCTCTATCCATAGTTGTGAACTCCAGTGCCCAGGGGTCACAGAGACTGGGAACCACGCCCCTTTAAAAGCACCAGGCATTTTCGAAATGTCTTTTCCTGATTTCCCAGCTTAGCGAGCACACCAGCTGTCCCTTCTTGTGTGCAACTGCCCAACCAACTAGGCCAGTTACACGCTCTGGACACATGCCTGCCTGGAGTAAACTGGAGGTGTTGGATCTCCTGGGCCTATTGGGAGAAGAAGCTATGGAGCAGTCATAGAAATGTGGACACTGACAAGCAGATTGCCTGGGGGGTTGCAGGAGAAGGAGTATGACAGAGATCAGCAGCAGTGCCACGTGAAAGTGAGGGAATTGCCACAGGCATAACAAAGTCAAGGAGGCCAACTGGCAGTCTGGAGCCATGTTGGAGACCTGCCACTTATGCAACAAGCTACATGCCATATGTGGCAGAGACCCCACTGAACACCATGGATACCTCCAAGGATTCTGAAACACAGACCCCAACTGTGAAGCGAGGAGGAGGACCAAGAAGAGGAGGAGATCTGTGGCAGGGGGACCCAGCTACGCTGTGAGCCAGGATCTTTTTGAGACTCTGCCACAGTATAGCCAGTCCCCCCGAGATGAGCATGCAGGAGCACATGAAGGAACATCAGGTAAGGCTGCATTTTTTTCATTACAATTTGTAAATAGAGCCATTGCCACTTGCCCCAATCCCAAATCTGAAGGACAGAAGTATTGACTTTTAATTGTTTCTTTCTTTTCCTAGTCATACAGCTAGAGGTTGAGTGGCATCTACTTTCCAGGCTCTTGTATGCACAGTTTTGTGGGGAGGGCATGAGGAGTGGATTGTTTATGTACAGAGGAATTGTATTGTATGGGGATATCTCAAGGAAACTTTCAAAGGATTCTGTTCTGAACGTTTCTAGGGTGGCAGCCTTAATTTTTCCTCCATGGTAGGACACTTTCCCACACCAGTCCATGATGACTTCAGCAGACACCATTACAGCAAACAAGCTCACAGCAGAGCACCCTGGGCGCCTACAGGATACCAACAGCAGCTGTCCTTTCTGTGCCTCCTAGAATCATAGACGATTAGGGTTGGAAGAGACCTCAGGAGGTCATCTAGTCCAACCCCCTGCTCAAAGCAGGACCAACCCCAACTAAATCATCCCAGCCAGGGCTTTGTCAAGCTGGGCCTTAAAAACCTCTCAGTATGGAGATTCCACCACCTCCCTAGGTAACCCATTCCAGTGCTTGCCCACCCTCCTAGTGAAATAGTGTTTCCTAATATCCAGCCTAGACCTTCCTCACTGCAACTGGAGACCATTGCTTCTTGTTCTGTCATCTGCCACCACTGAGAACAGCCTAGCTCCATCCTCTTTGGAACCCCCCTTCAGGTAGTTGAAGGCTGCTATCAAATCCCCCCTCACTCTTCTCTTCTGCAGACTAAATAAGCCCAGTTCCCTCAGCCTCGCCTTGTAAGTCATGTGCCCCAGCCCCCTAATCATTTTCATTGCCCTCCGCTGGACTATCTCAAATTTGTCCACATCCCTTCTGTAGTGGGGGGACCAAAACTGGACACAATACTCCATGTGTGGCCTCATCAGTGCCGAATAGAGGGGAACAATCACTTCCCTCGATCTGCTGGCAATGCTCCTACTAATGCAGCCAATATGCCGTTAGCCTTCTTGGCAACAAGGGCACACAGCTGACTCATATCGAGCTTCTCATCCACTGCAATCCCCAGGTCATTTTCTGCAGAACTGCCGCTTAGCCAGTCGGTCCCCAGCCTGTAGCAGTGCATGGGATTCTTCCTTCCGAAGTGCAGGACTCTGCACTTGTCCTTCTTGAACCTCATCAGGTTTCTCTTGGCCCAATCCTCCAATTTGTCTAGGTCACTCTGTATCCTATCCCTACCTTCCAGTGTATCTACCTCTTCCCCCAGCTTAGTGTCATCTGCCAACTTGCTGAGGGCACAATCCATCTCATCATCCAAATCATTAATGAAGTTATTGAACAAGACTGACCCCTGGGGCACTCCGCTTGATACCAGCTGTCAAGTAGACATCGAGCCGTAGATTGCTACCCATTCAGCACGACTATCTAGTCAGCTCTCTATCCACTTTATAGTCAGGGGCGGCTCTAGGCACCAGCAAAGCAAGCACGTGCTTGGGGCAGCCCATTTGCAGGGGCGGCAGGAATCCAGCATGGAAGCTGAGAACCAATAGGGGGCCCTGGGAGCTGTAGTTCCTTGGTTCTCTCCCTGCCTATAGAGCCAGCCCTGGAGCAGGGAAAGAACTACATTTCCCAGCATTCCCTTGGCCACTACCAACAGAAAAGAGGGGGAAGGAGTGAGATAGCTGAGACCTCATGCTGCAGTGAATGGAGAGCTGCACTGTGAGTAGGGATACCATATTTTAACATTCAAAAAATAGGACACTCCACGGGGACGGAGGGTAGCCCCACCCTGCCCCCATCCACTCCCTCTGACTGCCCCCCACAGAAACCCCAACCCATCCAACCCCACTGCTCCCTGTCCCCTGATCACCCCCTCCTGGGACCCCTGCCCCAACTGCCCCCCAGGACCCCACCCCCTATCTAAGCCCCACTGGTCCTCGTCCCCTGATTGCCCTCTCCCGGGACCCCACCTCCTATCTAAGCCTCCCTTCTCCTTGTCCCTAACTGCCCCCTTCTGAGACCCCCCCAACTTCCCCCCTAGGAACCCACCCCCTACCTGTCCCCTGACAAACTCCCGGGACTCCACTCCCATGCCTATCCAACTGCTGCCTGTACCCTGACTGCCCCCCCCAACCTCCACCCCATCCAACCCTCCTGCCCCCTTACCGTGCCACTCAGACCAGCGTGTCTGGCTCCACGCAGCGCCAAACACACTGCTGCATACATGCTGCCGTGCTCCCCCGCAGAGCCACAGCCCTCTCTCCTCCCCCCTTCCCCCCACCTGCAGCACCTGCCTTCCAGATTTGAACACCCTCAAAATTCAGGAGTGCTCAAGCTCAGTTTGGGCAGCTGTTACTTCATTTCTCCCAAATCAAATATACTGATCCACTGTAACTTGCTGTAGAAAAAGTAGGATAAAATTGAGCAAGAAATGCTTCGCAGTGGTTATTAGGACTGGAATTGCTATTTTCAACAGCCATTGCCTTTGTTTGTTTGCTTAAAAGGAAGACTGATATTGCATTGGCAAATTCCCCATAGAAAGAAAGAGAGGAACAAAAGAATAATAAAGACACCTCAACTTTTCATTTATGTAGGACAATCTTATA